GGGGGGGGGGGCACAGTTTCTGAGAGCCAGCAGCTCAGGGGCCGGACATCCAGCGATTAGTCATTGTGTAAATTAACCAAGATTTACAACGATCTGTCACTTTTTAAATTTGTTTATTTTATTGCATTGAATCATAAACGCAGTAAACAGAACCCAAAACCCAAACACAGAATGCCACCCCCCCTCCCTCCCCACAAAAAAAGTTATTTTATTTTATTTATTTTATGAAGTCACTGGTGGGCCAGATTGAGTTGAAAAGCCCTGGTCTAGTGGTTCTACACGTAATACTCCACAACCTTCTGTCTGAGGGGAGCGGGGCCAAAAGTGTAATGAGGTTGTGATGGTTTACTATCAGAACAGCAGCATACAGAGGTTTAGGCCTTGTGGGGGAGGCCCACACACACCAGTAAGGCTTGATCATAGAGCATCTGAAGTAGTGGGGCCATGGTGGTCTCATGACAAGGCTCTGATCCCATCATGTCCACACAATAGGAAAACTTAGCAATAATAATATATTTTTTTAACTAGTGTAAAAAAAAAAATCTAATTTCTATCTCAGCTTTGGGGCTAATCAAAACTGGTTTTAAATTGTAGGTTGTGACCTTAAAAAGAGCTAATAACCAATTTAACCAGAATAGATGATGACCAAGAGTCTCTCTGCAGACAGCCTTGCACTCACTAACACCGTGTGACTTTTTGATTTTAAACACAGACAGACTCTTTTCAGATGCTCATTTACTTCACATGTACAAATTCTGCTAACCCAAAACAAAACCTCAACACAATGTGCAAAAAGTGAAGAAATATTCTGCAGTAGAAGTTAACCTGGGATTATATTAGATTAATGAGTAATGGGTGTGTGACAAGCTCACCACTGAGGCGCATCTCGAAACAGATTCTGAAGCAGGACTGCATGATTTCACACACGGACTCGTTGGTCAGATGAGCTCCAACCGGTGTCAGCAGCAAAGTCCTCAGGACCTGCAACGTCGCAAGGTGGAAACATAATTTACTAAAATAAACAGACACTCATGTTTAGGTTATAACTTCTGAGATGACAAAATTCAATCTGAAAACGTTTAAATCCATCAAATAAAATCCACAGTTGTTAAATATTGTGTGTCCACAGCAGGAGTTGTCCTGTTAAATCATGATGTTTGGGTGAAGCTTCAGCTGTAAGACAGGTGGCTCCACACCTGACTCTACAATACTGACAGAAACAGAGAAGCTCACAGACTAAGTGACTGCACAGTTAAATCACATACTCATCTGACTTGTTATGCATTAAATGAGATGGAATATTTATGCTCTTATTGAAAAATATGAGCGTTGTCTTAATAAACTTGTATTACTGTGATATTTGTGCTGCATTTCCTGAGACATCTGAATTTGTAGCCTGAACAACATTCAGGGAAGTTATTTTGTGAGGCTGAATCACTGTGGATTAAAAACTGTTGAGTACAACTGTGTCAGACCTGAAAAAGGATCTTCATGTGTCCTGATGCATGATCAAGAATCCAGGTAGAAAAATCTAAAAAAGTTCAATCTGGTCCTCTGATCTTTATGTGATCGACTCAACTTGTCTGCTGCTTCCTTAGATAGAGAACTTTACTAATTGGCTTTTCTATGTACAGTGGGGAGAACAAGTATTTGATACACTGTTGATTTATCAGGTTTTCCCACTTGCAAAGCTTGTAGATGACTGTAATTTTTATCATAGGTACTCTTCAACTGTGAGTGATGGAATCTAAAACAAAAATCCAGAAAAATACAATGTATGATTTTTAAATAATTAATTTCCATTTTATTGTGTGAAATAAGTATTTGATACACCAGAAAAATGAAACTTAATATTTGGTACAGAAACCTTTGTTTGCAATTACAGGGATCAGACGTTTCCTGTAGTTCTTGACCAGGTTTGCACACACTGCAGCAGGGATTTTGGCCCACTCCTCCATACAGATCTCCTCCAGAGCCTCCAGGTTTCGGGGCTGTCGCTGGGCCACACGGACTTTAAGCTCCCTCCAAAAATTTTCTATGGGATTCAGGTCTGGAGACTGGATAGGCCACTCCAGAACCTTAAGATGTTTCCTACGGAGCCACTCTTTAGTTGCCCTGGCTGTGTGTTTTGGGTCGTTATCATGTTGGAAGACCCAGCCACGACCCATCTTCAGTGCTCTTACTGAGGGAAGGAGGTTGTTGGCCAAAATCTCACGATACATGGCCACATCCATCCTTCCCACAATATGGTGCAGTCGTCCTGTCCCCTTTGCAGAAAAGCATCCCCAAATAATGATGTTTCCACCGCCATGCTTCACGGTTGGGATGGTGTTCTTGGGGTTGTACTCATCATTCTTCTTCCTCCAAACATGACGAGTGGAGTTTAAACCAAAAAGTTCTATTTTTGTCTCATCAGACCACATGACCTTCTCCCATTCCTCCTCTGGATCATTCAGATGGTCATTTGCAAACTTCAGACGGGCTTTGACATGCGTTGGCTTGAGGAAGGGCACCTTGCGTGCACTGCAGGATTTTAATCCTTGACGGCGTAGAGTGTTACTGATTGTTTTCTTTGAGACTGTGGTCCCAGCTCTATTCAGGTCATTGACCAGGTCCTGCCGTGTAGTTCTGGGCTCATTCCTCACCTTCCTCAAGATCAATGATGCTCCACGAGGTGAGATCTTGCATGGCGCCCCAGACCGAGGGAGATTTTCCGTTATTTTGTATTTCTTCCATTTTCTAATAATTGCACAACTGTTGTTGCCTTCTCACCAAGCTGCTTGCCTATTGTCCTGTAGCCCATCCCAGCCTTGTGCAGGTCTACAATTTTATCCCCGATGTCCTTACACAGCTCTCTGGTCTTGGGCATTGTGGAGATGCTGGAGTCTGATTGATTGAGTGTGTGGACAGGTGTCTTTTATACAGGTCACGAGTCCAAACAGGTGCAGTTAATACAGGTAATGAGTGGAGAACAGGAGGGCTTCTTAAAGAAGAACTAACATGTCTGTGAGAGCCAAAATTCTTACTGGTTGATAGATGATCAAATACTTATTTCACACAATAAAATGGAAATTAATTATTTAAAAATCATACATTGTATTTTTCTGGATTTTTGTTTTAGATTCCATCACTCACAGTTGAAGAGTACTCTATGATAAAAATTACAGTCATCTACAAGCTTTGCAAGTGGGAAAACCTGAAAAATCAACAGTGTATCAAATACTTGTTCTCTCCACTGTATGTGAATGCTCCTGTAAAGTCTCCTGAGACAACTTTGTTGTAAACTGGTGCTATATAAATAAACTGAATTGAATTTTCTTATGATATCGCAGACAGACGTTATTCGAAACTTCACAAACATGTAATATATTGTCAAGCTGCTGTTTAACTCAATTCAGTTGTGGAAGTTTACATAAACTCACAATGGGCAAGAATGTGTTGAGCCTTTAATAATTAATTAATTAAAAAACAAATAAATGTAATATATATATATATATATATATATATATATATATATATATATATATATATATATGAGCCTACTCCGGTTTCTTCCCACAGTCCAAAAACATGCATGTTAGACTGATTGGTAACTCTAAATTGTCTCTAGGTGTGAGTGAGAGAGGGAATGGTTGTTTGTCTCGTTTGTCTCTATGTGTCCCTGTGATGGACTGGAGACCTGTCCAGGGTGTACCCCGCCTCTTGCACAGTGATTGATGGACATGGGCACCAGTGACCAGAAAAGGAGTAAGCAGGTAAAGAGGGAGGGAGGGACGGACGGATGCATGGATGGACAGACGGACGGACGGACGGACGGACGGATGCATGGATGGACGGACGGACGGATGGAAGGTTGCATGGATGGACAGACGGACGGATGGACGGACGGACGGACGGACGGACGGACGGACGGATGCATGGATGGACGGACGGACGGATGCATGGATGGACGGACGGACGGATGGACGGTTGCATGGATGGATGGACGGATGGATGGAAGAGGTAAAAAAAAAAAAGTCCAGATGGTTCACTGCCAGCGACCCACCTGAAGCTTAACTGGACTCAGCTGCTGCGTTGGCGGACGCATAACCAATTTGGATCATCAGCCACGCACGTCTGCCGACCGTTAATAACTATAACTCTTATAATCCACTGACTCTTGTTAATAAACATCTTATTTTGTCCTTTCTTTGAAATATGTTTTTAAATCATGTCAAATTGATTTGCTTGCAGAAGCAGCAAAAGCTTTTTTTAGGGGGTTTGGGCCTGTAATCACAGTTAATTGGTCGGTTTCGGGTCAAGCTCGGAACAAATGATACGGGTTCGGGCCAGGCCTGATTTTTTTTTTAGGCCCGAATGCAACTCTATCTGGAACATTGTTCACGGACTTACTTCACACATGAATACACTCATTCACACACACTCCCCTCACTGGCCTCCCTCCTTTTTAATCACAATATATTTCTTAATAACGATAACGATATATTTCAATATCGATATAAACAAAATAAAAGTCTTAGAAAAACTGTACAAATAAATTAATGTTCACCTTTTATTTGTATATAGTCTTCAAAAAAAATTTTTAATCATCGTCATATAAATATAAAACTCTCAACTTTCTCAACTTTGTAATTTACTTTTAAATTTATTAATTCATTTAAGAGAAACAAAATAAACAAAACAAATTCATCAAAAAGAAAAAAAAACATGAAAAGCGTGCAGAAAGAAGAAGAATATCTGCCCCTTTATTAAAATAATAATAACTACAAACAACAACTCAGGCTTGAACCCCAAAGTGAAAACAAAACACATCAGGCATCCTTCACCTGGTACTATACTTTCCCAACAACTTTAACTTAATCGTCTTTTTAAACATATAAATTGTTTTATACATTTTTATGTTGATATCGAGGCAGTTCCACAATCCTGTTCCCTGAATTACAACACAGCTCCTTCAGACTAGTTCTAAATGGAGGTTTTACAAACATTTCCATCCCCTTAAGGTTATAATGACTCTTGTGAGTGAGTGAGTGAGTGAGTGAGTGAGTGAGTGAGTGAGTGAGTGAGTGAGTGAGTGAGTGAGTGAGTGAGTGAGTGAGTGAGTGAGTGAGTAAGTAAGTAAGTAAGTAAGTAAGTAAGTAAGTAAGTAAGTAAGTAAGTAAGTAAGTAAGTAAGTAAGTAAGTAAGTAAGTAAGTAAGTATGTATGTATGTATGTATGTATGTATGTATGTATGTATGTATGTATGTATGTATGTATGTATGTATGTATGT